AGGTATATTGTTAGTTAATTGATTTCTAAAGCTACATGTGTGTTGGACAAGAGAACGATCTTGGTATTTAATTGAGGATAAGAAAACCTTTGAGTGTATATATATATATATATATATATATATATTTTATTACTCAACCTTTTGGAGACATTTTAAGAAACTTTTGGTTTTGGAAATATACTCTCTTGTCATAGTTGCACAAGACAGAAATCTAAGTTTATCAAGTTTTAAACTATGGACTCGTCGAGGGTGTGATCGGCATGCTATATTAAGGAATGATCTCATCTCAAACTCTAGATAGCGTCACATCTTTCCCCATTTGGTATGAGTTTGATATAACTTCAGTCTTCATAAGGGAACTAAGGATAATTGAGCATGGTTGTTAATATTATGAATTATTGTCACAGAGTTTGAAGTTTTATGGATGAAGTAAGACATCTTAGTCATTTGGGTATTCTACTAAATGAATAAAAGGCGTATGATGAAGTGTAATAAAAAAATCTTGAAGCTCACTTATTTAAATAACATGCTTATATAAGGTTATCAATGGAAAACGCCGAAGCAATAAGACTTCAAACAAGAAAATAGGTTGTTGACTCTAGAGTGAATAGTCATTTTGAGGTACTTTAAATTCTTTGAGTTTTATCGAGTCATTGAGATGAAAAGACTTCAACTAGTTCAATTGGTTCAAGCTAAGAAAAGTTTTGGAGATGTGAAAGGTCAAATAGTTAATAGAAAAAAAGAGACCATACCAAAGGTTTAATTAGAAACTACAAAGGTAAGGTTGTTGTAAGATTATATGTTGAACATGTGTTGGAAATTAAGAATATGTGTCATTTGGAGTTTTAAAGGGAACGCCAAGAGTATATTAGCCTTAATAAAGAATAATACGTGAGAAGCAGTAATGGACAAGGAAAAGTTTTATCATTTTGACAGACCAAGAATTGTTTTCATTTGAGAAGGACCCTCCTAGCTTAACGAAAAAAATAGGTCGCTCATTTACTCTTATTCCCAACACATACTAAGAGCACAAATCGTGGGAAATCAATCCTTTGACAAAGTCGACAAGGTTTCCTATGAAAGTTCAAGGAAGATCGTGGTTATAATCTCAGCCCATACATATGAAAGTTCCAAACTAGGAGTTCATCCTAAATTAAACAAATTTTCACTAATAGTTAATCCAAAAAGTTGAGTAGTACAAGTAATCGTTCTCATTATTGCAAACTTGCCAAACTCTTATCAATCAAATTCAAATCCGCACGTTCAGATTAGCAGATGATGCGTCCAACAACTACTAGAAAAAGGCAGTGGAGAACTTCAATATCATCACAATTGAGCTTCTTCAGATTTAAGAAAAGCAATTCGTTCTACAGAAAAGGAAACCTCATATGTTTATAAAAGCAAGGCATTCAACCAACACAACCTTGGGCGCGCCTAATAAATGGATTGGCTTCGAAACTCATCAAACACTTCATTATTTTCCACATAATCCAAAACCAGACAGTCACATCAAAACCCAATAATAACAGGGCCAAAACCATTGAACAAGCAATGAATTTCAAAAACGAAACAGGATGGTAACATAATTTACAGGGAAATTTTTGTATACACCAAATAAAGGTATGAACTAACCAACAGCGTCAAAAATATAGCTCAATTAGACTCTACTGTACAAAGCAATTAGGGGGAGAAGAGAATTGATATATCCGCTAACGATATTTTTGTATATATATATACTCACCGAGATTTGCAACGCGTAGAGAAAGTGAGAAAGCAAACGAGACGTACTTTGCCTGTTTTATATGTAAATCTCTAGCTGAGGCTAACAAAGAATATAACGAATGATATAAGACTCAATATTCACAAAACTGGTTCCTCTGGACTGCATGGCCAGACCAATGGTGGCTAACTGGTGCACTAGAATTGAAGCGATTCCAACTTGTTTCTGGAGCATGAGCTTCATGAGCAAAATTTACCCTCTTCCTTCCTCTCCTGTTTCTCCAACCATTTTCCTTTTGATAGCCATAGCCATCACAATGGAATCTTGAAGCTTTGAACGACGTCGAATGGTACCAATTTCCACTCATCTTCTTGCTGTTTGCATTTGCATCCCCCCATGATGTTCTCCAAATCCCATCTGTAAGCCTTCTGTCTGATTCATTGTGATTATTCCCCCAATCATTCCAACCAACTGAATTATTCAAATACTCATCTCTCAAACCTACACTATTCTTGGGAGCATAGTTCATCTCCCAAGAGTTTCCTCCATCATCAGCATTCGGAACAAAATTACCATGCTCTGCTTTAAATGGTACAGCATTAGGTTTCTGAAAATCTTCTTCAGCTTCGCCCCATCCAGTGCCCGAATATGATTGATACAGGCCAAGAGCCTCATACAAACCCGCAATCACTTCATCTCCCTCTCGAACTACTGGGGGATTCGGTTCCCGTTCCAGGTCTAATAGCAGGTCAGGGTCAACACTGCAATTCCAATCGATCTCATCTATATAGATGTTAGGATCAGGCATTGATATATCGCAAGGAAGGCCGTTGATTTTTGCCCAAAATCTACTCTTTGCATTGTGAAATGCTTCTTCGCCTGCCGAGTCATTCCATTTGACTACACTGTCGTAGAGATACATACACTTCTTGGTGTCCAGCAGCTTTCTCCATGGAATCAACCCAACAGAGGAACAAAACTTCTTCTCCCATGATGGCACATCGGAGTGCCAATTAACTGTAAAAGGGAAAGAGCGGCAAGACGATTAGACTACAAAACTAATTCACCAGTAGTAAGCAAAATAAATACTAAAATCAGACACCCAAAACAAGGAAAAACACAAAACTACTGTCACTTTCAGAGATGAAAGATAAAATAGAAATAGAATATAGTCAGAGACTTCAAAATGCTAAAAACTGAATCCACTGCATAGCATACAACACTAGAAAAGTGGAATAATAACAAGCATGCATAACAACCCAAAAACAGGTATCAGAATCTGCTATAAAACTACAGCTGGTCCAGAAATTTCCCTAATACAACATCATTGCCAAATAATGATACCAAAACAAGAAAAGTAACATCAGTCAGAGAGAAAAATGTTAAAGCAAAAATTTCAAATTGATAAGTTATAGTTGGAAACAAAAAATTGATGAGAAAATTTCAGAATTAAGAAAGGCTCCAACAAAAAAGTAGATATAAGCAACGAAACCTACCAATTATTCTTCAGAATGATCATAATCATGTAACCATCAAGAACAAAAGTATTTCAAAAACGAATCATCACAGAAATCACACAATTATACAAAATATAAATAGATATACATCTTGATCACCAAAAACGTCGAGAAATTTCGAACACCCCACTCTCCATTTTTCTAATAAAAACAAAACGAGAACCGCCGCTCGTGGAGATCGCAACCGACTTCAAGTGCAACGGAGGGAGCACTCGCGGCAAAGAAAATCGACACAAAATCAAAATATAGCCAAAATCATTTGATTGCAATCAAAGCATCAGCAATTATAACGAAATCAAGAGTTAAATAAAAGGATGGAATGAACAGCATTTTACCTAGACGTGCGTTTCTGCCCTGTAATCTCGTCCCCGTCACTTCTTGGTCACGAATTTCTCCTCTCTCTCTTCTCCAACTACCCATACGAGAATTGAAAAGCCGATGGGATTGAAACCTAAACAAAAATTAAAAAAAAAACGTGGTTGCAGAAGAAGAACAAAATCAGTGCCACAGAATCGGCTCGAAGCAGAGAAACAAGGCGTGGGCTCTCAGAAAGGGGAAAAAGACAATAAGAACAACAGAGGTTGGAGCAAATCTTGGGAGAGACGGAAGGGGCGAAACTCGAAAAGGGAAGAATTTGGATTGGCTAAGGAATAGCAGAATCTAGAGGAACTTAAGCCAAATTGCTGAGGTTTTTCTTGATACGTTATTGATTAAGATTTGATGTTTAGCTTACGGAAAAAGTGTCTCACTTCTTTATTTTTTAATTTAGTTATATATATATATTATATGTTGATAAATTATGTAAATGGCCCTTCACTTTGGTCTAATTTACCAATTAAACCACTGACTTCGTCTCCGATATCACACACCGTGTCAACGTAAGCGAAGACTGTGCCAGATTCCACGCCCCCCTGAATAGACCATAATAGTTAATTATTGTTACTTTTTTGCATTTATTTTGAAAATAAATAAATAAATTATGTGTCAATTACATTTTTAGTCACGAGTTTGGGGGAAATTGAGATTTTTTACCCCCAAATTTTTAAGATTGGAGTTTTTGTTTTCAATGACTCTTTCTGACTTTTGGTGAAGGTTTAATTACGAAAATGCCCTCGCATTCTCTTTCTTTTTTTCTCACGGCCTTTCTATTTTTTTTTTCCTTTTCTTTTTCAATTTTTCTTCGGAAATTTTCAGTAAAATCTGTCAATGTTTGAAAAACCTTCTAGAAAAATTACATTTTGAAGTCGTTGTGGAGAAGTTCCTGAGTGCAAAACTGCGATGAAACTAATTTGGGAATTGGGAAAATGGAAACTCAGAAAAGAGAGTTAATGGCGAATCTTATTTTGAATAACATGATTTATTATATATATGGAAATTATAACTGCACTATCATATCAAATTTGTATTGAACCGAGATTGTGGGGGTGTCAATTGCATGTATACCGACTTTGGATTAATGCTTTTAACCAAGATTGTATAAATCTCGAGCTTTTATACAATTTCAACCCGGATTTCATGAATCTCAAGGGCCGAGCTTAAATTTCAATTGAGATTGCATAAATCTCGTGCTTTTATGCAATCTCAACCGAGATTGTACGAATCTCAAGCCTTGATATTGAAGTTCTCGGGGACTTCAATCTCGACTGTGTGTGATCCTATTTACTTTCATGTTGGGGCGTCCTAGTGAGGGAGGAGGATAGTTTCATCGTCGTGTGAGAGAGACACTCTCTTGATTAAGTTTTACTAGTATTTACTAAAATTTGACAATTTTTTTGGAATCACATTAATCTCGCCCTGAATTCCGAGGAGAGCTCCAACTAAAGTTTCATTCAATCTTTCGTACTTTGTAGTTTCTTTAAGAAACAAAAAAAAAGAAAAATTAAAATGAGTCAACAACCCATAAATGAGAAAGCCACGTAGGCGTGACAGATTCCAAGAAGAAGAAAAGTCCTGCTCGCACAGGAGCTAAACTGTGAGCAACTTCATTTGCTTTTCTCTTAAATGTGCTTGGCAAGGATTCTACCTCCAGGCATTTCTATTCCACCTCTCTTTTAATTCCGGCTTCAAAGGTAAGGGATTGGTTCAGTGCTTTGAGTCCTTCTAAGATTGTTGGGACTTCCAAAGTTTTGATGGGCCATTTCCATGGTAGGTGAAGACAACCTGCGCCATGATGAAGTGTCCTTCCGAGTCCACGAACTACCCACCCCATTCCACGAGCATGCAATGGATCCACCCATGTAGCGTCAGAAAATTCCTTTTCTTCATTGATCAAGTTCTTTTCAAGATTCTTTTTAAAATCAATTAACTTGCTTTCAATAAGAATGGTAGACTTCTTGGGACAAGCCTGCTCATTTGTGTGGTGGACAATCTGATTTAAACCACCATAATAGAATTAATATACCATAATAGAAGCTTATACGAGTCCCTTTTAAAATTAAACGAGCCAACATTAAAATCTAAATAAACTGTCCAAACAAACCTGGTGGTTGTCTCTTCTTTCCCTCGACAGAGCGGGGATTTGCTGACGTTGGAATAATATCTTGGAAAAAATATAAGTTTGAAAAGGGTAAAAAATCTCAAAAACTTTAGAAATCAAAATGTCAATTTCCCTACCACTAGGGATGTTATTGAGATGGAGATGATTTTTCCGTTACCATGTCCGCCACCTATTTCATTCTTCCTCCTCGAAATTTTTTTTTACGAAATTTCGCACAAACTGACAATTTTTGGAGATCAAGTTTTTAGGAGGGAATTATTACTGACTTTATACTTTTTATTTTAAACGATTCTTATTAATTTATATTTCGCTTGAAGAATCCCTATTTAAAAAGAAAAATTCTAAACACAAATATAATATTTCATTTATGTCTTAAGTTTATAGTTTCTTTAAATATATATTATAGAATCATAATTGGCAACTAACTTCTATGACCCATAACACCACCAAGAAAAGACATATATACCAAGAAAAGACATATATACAAGTCGTGGAGGCTTCACAAAAGGAAAAAGATTCATTTAACCATGAGCATATTTTGAAAATTCTTAATGGTCAATAAGAGCCACCAAAGACCAAGAGAAGGATGGAGTGGCCAGAAGGGTCAAGGAAGTGTCCATGCTACAAGGATGGCACCCACAACTTGCCCAACCGTATGCCCGGCGTGCCCAGCTCCTATGCGCTAACCTCACAAGTGCATGTCCCGCACCGCACGCTAGTGCCAACGCCCTGCCGCATGCCTATGCTTATGCGCCGCGTTGCTGCGCGCTCCACCGACTCTCAGTGTTGCGCCTCTGCTTATTAGCTAAATGGTCTAGTGCAAGCGCACACTGTCACAAGTAATAATTTGTAATAATTTGGGAGTACAACAAGTTCGTCTTCGTAAGGATTAGTTGCTTTTTAAAATAAGTTGTGCAATTGATTTAGAGTAAAATGGATGAGATTGTTTTGAGGATGTCACTAAAAATGCAGGGAAAATAGAATATGGAAAGCAAACCCCCTACTGCTGCCTTAGCTTTGAAAATAGTTACTGCAACTAGCCATGTGCCTCACGCATATGCATCACAACATGCAAAATATGTTCTACTCCTATTCCAATATGCTTTTACTTGCTTAGTAGCTTAGGTTAGCATTTACATATGTATACGGAATGCTAAAATCCTAAATAAATTAAACTTTGACTTGCATTCAATGGATATCCTAAATAAATTAAACTTTGACTTGCATTTAATGGATAAGAGATCCTATGTCTAAGTTCTTGTTTTAGTTCTTCATTTGTAAAGCAACTTCCCGTTGATATTGACGAGACCCATTTCAATCTAACTTTTTTAAAATTAGACTCGAACTAATGTGATTAAACAAGTAGCTAGCAAGTAAATCAACTAAAGGTTAAAAAACACAATTGATTCCTGTACTTTCATTAAAGTAACGATCTAGTTCCTAAATTTTGAAAAGTAACGATTTAGTCCGTCTATTTTAAAATTAGTAAGGATTTAATTCCTCCCCTTAAAAATTCTATTAGGATTTAATAGAAATCCTATGCGGCAGACATCTAAGATCTATGTGTAAAAGTTAGAGGGCCATGTAAGCATGGGTTGGTTTAAAATCTTGTTGGTTAAAATTTGGACTATTAAGGCTTTGGGGGAAAAAATAAAAAAAAAATTCACGAAGAAGATCGTCCTCCCGTTCCCACTGTTCCGAAACTTTCTCACTCTTATACAAAATTTTCAGGCTTTGTCTCTCATTTTCACCTCAATCTCTTCTCATCTGGGTCTTCTAGTTTTCAAAAAATAAAAATAAAAATTTACTCATCTGCATTTGGGTTTTCGATTTCTAGATAAAATTTGTTTATCTCCATTTGGGTCTTTAATTCTGATCCGAGTTTTCCATTTCTTACATTTTGCTCTACAAGTGCAGAATGTTCAATCTTCATAGAAAATTTTGATCTGGCATAAACATGATGATTTTCATATATGCAAATATTGTGAATGTTATTGACACGATGAACAAAAAATTCAAGAACCATTTGAAAGAATTCGTCCGAAAAGAAATAAGTCCCTCAACAATTAATTTAAGTATCTTCTCCATTATAACCAACAAAACAAGAAAGCCATGGCATGGCAGAGACGAGAAACCAATCAAAACTCATCAATCTCAAGAAAAGAAAACAAACATAACTCATTTCCTATAAAACCCAAAAATAAAAAATAAAAAAGAAAAACAAAGAAAGATATGGTAAGGGAAGGATGGTCCGATTGGAATGATGGAGAACTGTTAGGGTTGACTTTTTCCTGTAGCAACATGTGTCAGTACGCCTGTTTAACCATGATTTTAACCCATTTCTATTGGGTACTCTATCCTAAAACTCGTAGTTTGTAAACAGTGAACATTAATGTGAGGTTATTTAGACAAATGTTGTTAAATGAAAGTGAATTTATTTTTTAATAAATCCAATAAACTACGAACTCTTGGCTATTATAATGAGTACTTGGACTTTATGTGGAGACATAAACTGGATCAAGTTCAAGTAAATAGCCTAAACAGTCTATAGTACATGGATCAAGTTGGGTACTTTTTCCTGGAGACACTATTGAATACG